AAGAGAAGTTCTATTATTTTTTAACTAATAAAAAAATTAATTTATAATTTTATATATATATATATAAATAATCTGGCACCCCTAAAATATTTTTTCAAGTTCCGCCACTGATTCTCAACAAGGTCAACATACAACACAATCACAGCTTAACAACATAACAACAAATATACAACTCATATCAACAACAAATCAATTCGTCAACAACTTATGCGTCGTCACGCATTTCGACTCGGAGATCTCCTACAACATGGTAAGTAGTCTAAGTGGCTAGGTCCTACCGAACCGACAACACAGCAAATTTGGATATCAATCCACAACACGATAATGGTTTCTCAGACTTTTCCACTTAAACAGGGAAGTATAGTACTCGGTAAGGAACTGAGTTCCCGACTTCATACTTTACTCAAATTGGCCACTTCTAATCGGTATAGGTCGACCTGACCCCTATACCGTGGTCGCTTTGTAATCGGTATAGCTCGACCTTGCCCCTATACAGTGGTCGCTTTATAATCGGTATAGCTCGACCTTGCCCCTATACCGTGGTCGCTTTATAATAGGTATAGCTCGACCTTGCCCCTATACCGTGGTCGCTTTATACACGTGTGCCTCGACCTTGCCCACACACGGGATCAACTAAGTCCTAGAGGAGAACAACACAACGACCACTCCAAGGGACAACTTTCCAAGGAGGGTTTTTCAACAAATTGGGCTCTCAGAGCACCACAACTATCTCAATCCACACAATGGGATGAGCAACTTCGAAAACATCTCCCCTAGTCCTAGTGATCAACAACTTATCATCACAGCTTAATCAGCTTACAACTCAACAACACAGCTTTACAGCAATAGGCATCTTAACAACTTTACAGCAATAGGCAACTTAACAACTTTACAACAATAAACAACTTAACAACTTTACAGCAATAGGCAACTTAACAACTTTACAGCAATAAACAACTTAACAACTTTACAGCAATAAACAACTTAACAACTTTACAGCAATAAACAACTTAACAACTTTACAGCAATAAACAACTTAACAACTTTACAGCAATAAACAACTTAACAACTTTACAGCAATAAACAACTATAGTCATCAATCTCAACTTTAACAACTTTAAACAACATAGCAACTTTTTAGCAACATACAACTCTCCTCTAACAACTTGACAACACAGTCTAATAATAACATCTCATCATACTTCACAACGTAAACATGTCCACACATATAGCAACCTTATCAACTTAATTTCAACTAATTTCAACAATATCATAGATCAACACACAACTTGTAAACAACTTCACAACTTAACTACAACATGCATCTCCAACAACATCATTAATAAATATTTAATCATATATTAGCAACACACAATATTTTCATCACCTAACATAACTCATACTAATCAACCTAAGTACCCAAAGGAGTTCCCAACTCACATACAACCAACAACTTTACAATCTAGCTTCCCTTACCTGAAGATTGGCTCAGGATAGCTAAGAAGCGGAATTCCCTTTTCGAAGCTCAACCCGGAACTTCAATCCACCCAAAGCAAGCTTCTTAGTCCAGAGTCCTTCTCTCTAAAACTTCTCTCTAAAAACCTTCCTTTCTCCTCAACCACCAACCCCTATTTATAGAAGTTCCGAAGTGGCCAGAACGGTCTGTTCCGAATCCAGAACGACCCGTTCTGCACTCTTTCACCAAGTACAAAATTTACACGCAGAAGGGTCCGTTCTGAAATCAGAACGGCCCGTTCTGGGACTCATCCAAAACTGCCCGTTCTCCATCCAGAACGGCCCATACTCCCTTCGAAATAGCCCGTTTTGGGGTTTGGAACGACCCGTTCTCCCTCCAGAATGGCCCGTTCTCAACTACGTTTTATAGGTCAATTCAGTAGTTTGGAACGGCCCGTTCTAGTTTGGGAACGGCCCGTTCTGGACTATTGAATTCCCCATACTGAGCCTTCTCAAAATAATTTACTACGTTACAGAAACAAAATAAT